AGCATTACTTTACTAGTGTGTGAGATGAGTGCAATTTTGCAGTAGTTTGAGCATTCTTTGCCATTGCCTTTCTTAGGGATTGGAATGAAAACTGACCTTTTCCAGTCCTGTGGCCACTGCTGAGTTTTCCAAATTTGCTGACATACTGAGTGCAACACTTTCACAGCATCATCTTTTAGGATTTGAAAAAGCTCAAGTGGAATTCCATCACCTCCACTAGCTTTGTTTGTTGTGATGCTTTTTAAGGCCTACTTGACTTCACATTCCAGGATGTCTGGCTCTAGGTGAGTGTGAGTGATTGCATAGAGAAGCCAAATATATTTTGTTCAGTTAATAAATATATATGTAATAAACATATTCCTCTTGTCACTTTGATAAGATGTACCATGAGGAAGTGTAAACCTATAACAATTGTGATATACTATATTTGTAAAATTTGCCAGTTTGCTATAAAATCCTAGTATGTGACAGACATTTCACAATTGTCCACTTCCTATAACTTTCTGTAAAAAGAAGTTATTTGTCATTTTAGAATGAGAGAGAAGAAAATACAGGGGGAAAATAATCCCTAAATGAATGTATTAAAAAAATAATGATGTGGAAGTTTTGTGGGAAAGAACTCTTAGAAAAAGAGTCAAAAGGTTTTTACTTTTTTTGTTGTTGCTTGTTTGTTTTAATAACTATTTAATTTTTTATGATTTATTTATTTTTGGCTGCACTGGGTATTTGTTGCTGCATATAGGCTTTCTCTGGTTGTAGATAACGGGTGCTGCTCTCTAGTTGTGGTGTGGGAGTGGCTTCTCTTGTTGCAGGGCACAGGCTCTAGGGTGTTCAGGCTTAGTTGTGTTGCACTGGCTCTGTTTTCTGGCAGCATATGGAATCTTCCTGGACCAGAGATCAAACCTGTGTCCTCTGCATCAGCAAGTTTCTTATCCACTGGGCTACCAGGGAAGCCCTGTTTTATTTTGTTTTAAGTGAGTTCAGTAGTGGACTGATACAAAACTAGAGTTTGGTTTTCTTAATGTTAAAACAGCAAAGTTTTCTTGGATTGTTTGCCTACTATTAATAAAAGATGATGAAATATTTCTCCATAGCTTTTTTAAGTAATCTATCTAGAAATCCAAGATTTTATATCTTATTAGGATATTTTCCTGTGATTTATGTTAAATTATGTTCTCAGTTATTTAAGATTAACTAAATATTTTTTTCATAGTGATCTGTGATACCATTTAATCAAGTATTCAAAAATTTTGACATTTTGACAACTTTCCAAAATCAATTTCTAAATTAACCCTTTTTGTTCTCAAACTGACTTTCAAATTTCCCAGAGAGCTCTTGGAAAAATCTAAAGGATTTTTTTCCCTTACATTTAAAAAAAGAGATTCTAAGCTAATTTGATTTATTTGATATGTTGAATTACATAAAAAGGCATTATCCCATAAGAAGGGGTGCCTTAACCTACCCCAGGTTATATTGACATGGGTAAACATTATTAATATAAGTATTTTAGAAATTTTATGAATTTCATAGAAATTTGTCACTACCCATGATCGTTTGGGTAGGATATTATCAGTCATAATTCCAATGATTATTTTTAAACATTTTATGTCATGGAAATGACCAGATTGTTTTTTGTCCTGTGAACGCCCATATTTTTACATGGCCGTGGCCATTTTTATTTCCCACCCACAGATATTCTCTGTCCTACTCTGATTCTCTTTGAATGAATTTTCAATCAGTTAAGGCCAGAATGCTTCCTCTTCAACAGCAAGTGACTGTGTCAGGGACCACTGAAAGGACTATGACAGATATCTGATGCACAGCCTTCTGACAGTATTGTTTAGTCCTAAAAGCATACCACTGGACTGAATACAGATTTCCAGAACTCTGTGAGGAATTAATCGAGTCATAAAACTGTTAACGCAAGATCAGGCAGAATAAGAATAAATTACATGCTACTGAATGGACTAATAAAAGATGATTACAGTTTTTCTTTGAGATGTTGCTAGTTCTTTAATGTTCTATTTTCCATATATAAGGCACCCTTTTCTTCAGGAGATCCCGATTTGATTCTTGGGTCAGGAAGATCCACTGGAGAAGGGATAGGCTACCCACTCCAGTATTCTTGGGCTTCCCTTGTGGCTCAGCTGGTAAAGAATCTGCCTGCAGGGCAGGAGACCTGGGTTTGATCCCTGGGTTGGAAAGATCCCCCTGGAGAAGGGAAAGGCTACCCATTGCAGTATTCTGGCCTGAAGAATTCCATGGACTGCATAGTCCATGGGTCACAGTGTCAGACACAACTGCACAACATTTACTTTCACTTTTCTCTTAAGATCTAAAAAATCAGTAGATTATACTTCTATAAACAAAAATCAAACATTTGTCTTTCACTCTGCTCCTCCAGAATTTGAAAACTAGAATGACATATTCTTTCTTTCATTAAAAAATATAATTATTTGTGGAAGTTCAATGAGAATCTCTCTTCCTTGTAACAGGATATAATTAGAAATATCAATTATATTGCCAAAATTTTCCTGAAATACCGTGTTTGAAAATAATGCAAAGATCCGGATGTGACCAAATAACTTTAAAGATCAAAGGTTGATTTTATGGAACCAATGCTTAAAAGTCACCTTTGGAAAAACTGGCCTGGTACCTGGCTTATAGGATTCCTAGCCTTAGAGGTGAATACTGAAGGTTACCTCCTCATAGGCCCGGGAAGGTTAGGTTGTTTTGGGCCATCAAGAAAAAGCAAATACACCCAAATCTGTAGGTAATGCAAAGTCTTGTTGTGAGTTCTTGATGTGGTGATCTAGGCTCAAAAGGCTTTTAAAAGTCTAATCTGGGATTCTTTATGGAAAGTTTCAGCAAAGCAAACTTAAAAAGGCTTATCTGGTCGGTTATCATTCTTGTTCCCCTTGTCTAAAAAATCAGGCCAAATCTGATGAGATCACACTTACTTGGTAAACAAGAATCAAAAGGGGTGACTATGCAGACAATTTTTTTTTTAATGATTCAATGGGAAACTATAAGACACTTATGTAGATAATTAGGTTATAATTTTGTTCATTTTCTCTAGTTTCCACTTCGTAAACTATATTACTTTCTAGTTCTTTATTTACCTATAAGTTGATCTGGTACTAATTCTGTTCAGTTCAGTTTAGTCACTCAATTGTGTCCAACTCTTTGTGACCCCATGGACTGCAGCACACCAGGCATTCCTGTCCAACACCAACTCCTGGAGCTTGTTCAAACTCATGTCTATTGATCTTAGTTTTTTGAATATTGAGTTTTAAGCCAATTTTTTCACTCTCCTCTTTCACTTTCATCAAGAGCCTCTTTAGTTCCTCTTCACTGTCTCCCATAAGGGTGGTGTTATCTGCATATCTGAGGTTATTGATATTTCTTCTGGCAATCTTGATTCCAGCTTGTGCTTCATCCAACCCAGCATTTCTCATTATGTACTCTGCATTGAAGTTAAGTCAGCAGGGTGACAATGTACAGCCTTGACATACTCCTTTCCCAATTTGGAACCAGTTGGTTGTTTCATGGCTTGTTCTAACTGTTGCCTCTTGACCTGCATACAAATTACTCAGGAGACAGGTAAAGTGGTCCAGTATTTCCATCTCTTTAAGAATTTTTCACAGTTTGTTGTGATCCACACAGTCAAAGACTTTGGCAGTCATTAAAGTAGATGTAGATGTTTTTCTGGAGCTCTCTTGCTTTTTCAATGATCTAATGGATGTTGGCAATTTGATGTCTGGTTCCTCTGCCTTTTCTAAATCGACAATTACTAACTAATTCTGTTAGTAATTATTAATAGTATTTCCAATTTTTCTCTCATTCCCATGATATGTCATCCCTTAGAACTAAAGCTGCCTTTTTCCTGAAACCCTGTAAACTGAAGCTGAATTGATGAATTGAAAAAAAAAATCACAAAAACTGATCATTTATGAGAAACCTCAGTCCTCTTGCTTTGGAACACTCAGGAAGTTTGCTGGAACACCCAAGTGCCATCATCAAACACATTCAACTGCACACGAAGGATATCCGCTGAATTGCCGCTGCCATCCTCACTAACTCCACCAAAGATGCTTCCAACCCAGCATCTAGAATCTTCCTGATTGACTTCCCTCAGGACTCAGAAGCTAGGTGTCCACCTATTAATCTCTGACTTAACTTCAGGGGGGCTCCTCGAACGCCTCTAAGTCTTGACTTTGGCATCTGTCGTTTGGGGCATATGGCTCAAATTTAACTGGTTTCAGTCCAGCCAGAAGGCCCCACCCTTGATGTCTGATCAAATTCCACATCTCCCACCATCCTCCAAGTGATATCTGATCACCCTTGCCTATCTTCTACAAGAATCCTGCTAATCTATTTAACTGAAATCTCCCCTAATTTTGATATTTTCTCTTGATTTTTCATCCAGTGATCACCACCCTGCCTGGTTACATTTCCTTTTACCCGTGTCATATATGGAATTGAATTCTATCCTGAGGTCTCTTTCACTTGCTGTGATACTTCCTGAATAAAATGATTTTTTTAATCACTCTATCTACTGTTGAGTTCCAGTTTTCTTTAACAATTATTAGCCATATATACAAAAATCATTTTAGCAATAAAAAATAATTAAGATGCCAAGTGAATAATATAAAAGGAAGTACTAATTAATTGAATTTGAGCTAATTTATTTAGATCTAGAAAGCTAGATATGATTTTATTTATTTATTTAGGACAGATTGTAATATAAATGTAGAGATAAAAGTGAAATGATACAATCAGGTGAAACTTAAAAGACTGATCTAGCTGATACTGCAGCTTTTGTAATGGACATAATCCTATTAGTAGTAATAAGAGTTGAGATTTTTTCAGTAAACTGTTCTAAGTACTTTGCAGGGATTATGTCTTTTAATCCTTACAAGCACCTTATGCAATAGAGACTATTATCCCCATTTTGATATGATTCTAGACATAGATTTTAAAATAAAACTCAAATGAAAATGGAAAATAAAACATTAAAGTTCATAAACCAATTACCTTGTGTATGTCAGGGTTGGAGAGAGGTCTGGAATGAGAGAGAAACCATGATTTTAGAAGGCAAGTCCTAAGTGCAGAAGTGACACATTCTAATGCAATTGTAATTTTCTCAATCAAATAATTCATTTCAAGAAACAAAGGGAGAAGACCCAAATCAACAAAATTAGAAAGGAAACTGGAGAGATCACAACAGACAACTCTCAAATAATTCATTTCAAAATATCTCATTATGAGCTTGTCTAGCTTGTTGTAAGCCAGCTCACTTAAAAAAAAACAAGTCTCCATTAGGTGTTTTTCATCTCATTAATTCTTGTTTCATATAAACACCTTTCCCTGTGACCCCTATCAGCTCCTGCCAGCACCAGCAGGATATTGCAATATTCCCTATAGTTTTATCCATCCTAAAAATAATTTTGTAAATATTCCCTCCACAATGTGGGATGGGGTCAGAATAATGACTAGGTTGTGGTAGAGCCCATTTCCTGAGCCTTAGAACTCTTTTATAGTATGCCAGTAAAGTTCCAAATTTTTACCTCATTAACTGTAGGTCATATTGAATCCAGGCCTTAATTGACTAACATAGTTACATCTCTCATAATTACCTCTCTCCCAGGTGTTCAATCCAATCCATTAAATTTAAAATTCTGGATAAGGTACACTAATGATTAATGATAAGGAATGCAGCCAATTGAGCCTTCTATTTTGTCCAACTTGCTCTCTCACCCTTATAATATCCTCACTATGTACCTCATACTCCTAACAGAATAGATTTGTGAAATCCTGTCTTTCCTATATAGGCTATTTCCACACATTGGCCTTTATCTGTCATGCTAGGGTATTCTGGGAAGAATATCACTGAAGGCTTGGGGGCAACGAGAATGGTAATGGTAGATTCTGAGGAAAACAATCTTCAACTTTTGGAGCAACTTCTCCAGATGAAGTTACAGGAAGTCTTTCACATAGAAGAGGACTGGTTCCTTCAAAAAGAGAAGGGATGTCCACATCTAGTGGCAAGGGAGGCTTGGGGGAATTTGTGAGTTTGATACTCTTGGCCTTACCTATGTCTGCCTAAGTTTCCTCACCCCATGTTTTACGGTCCTATTTCTTCCCTACTCACATTCTTCTTTTAGCACAGGAGATTTGGAATATGGAGTGGGGGTGGGGGTGGGGCATTAACTGGCAATCTAACTCACTCTCTCTTACTCTCAGATTCAGCCTGACATTCCTTTCCTGGCTATTATAGGAGATGAAGAACTTTTAAATTTCCATGGATTTTTTTTAATTGTCATGGTTTCTCTTGTCTTAATATCTGATTAGAAGTCTGTTTTTCCAAGCTTTCTAGACCAAAAACTAAATTCTTCCTTGAGTTCTCCCTAAATCAGTTTTAAAAAATCATTGAAACATTTGCTAAAATGAGTTTGGTATTAACTTTGACTCTTAATCCTATATCATATATCATTTCAGCAAAATACATTGATTACATTATCTGAAAATATTTGAATGAAAAGAAGCTGACTCTAACCATTTACTGGTTTCTCCACTACTTCAGTCTAGTGAAAATCACCACTGAAATAACTTTCTCACTGTTTTCACTGCTGTCAATCTTAGATGCTTGTAGAATATTTTACAGTCAATGTGATCCTATAAAGATAAAAGTCATTCCATGATTTCCATCCTTAAAATTCTACAAAGAATTCCATCACATGTAAAATAAAATACACATCCTTACTATGGCATATAAGGCCCTAAAAATCTAAAATCTGGTTTTCTTTATATCGTGATTTTCTACTTCTTTTATTTCACAAGTTATGCTTTTGTCACACTGGCCTTCTTTTTCCTTGACCACTACCGACCTGACTTCTGCCCCTTGAACCCTGCCACTTGCTTTACCTGAATTCTTGTTCCCCAGTTTTTCAAAGGCTCACAAAATTCATTCAGGTCTCTGCTGAAATTTTACCTTCTCAGATAACCTATTCTTAATATATAATTTTATACATTATGATTTTTATATACATAAAGAATATAGGAGAATATGTAATCAATGCCTGCATGCTATGTCACTTCAATCATGTCTAATTCTTTGTGACCCTATGGGCTATAGCCTACTAGGCTCCCCTGTCCACGGGATTCTCCAGGAAAGAATCTAGGGTGGGTTGACATTTCCTCCTCCAGGGGATCTTCCCAACCCAGGGATCAAACCTGAGTCTCTTACATCTCTGGCATTGCCATGCAGGTTCTTTGTCACTAGTGCCACCTGAGAAGCCCCATGTAATCAGTAGTTATATATAATATATATGTTTAGTAATTATAAGGTACACATTACGCATATAACATAATAATTTATTTACTCTACTTATATGGTTATTATATTAAATAATTTGTTTAGCTAATACACATATATCAATATGTATAGTTTAGTTATACATATAATGTGTAATTTTATATAACTTCATACATATATAATTTTATATATTTTAGGGCTTCCTTCATAGCTCAGTTGGTAAAGAATCTGCCCACAGTGCAAGAGATCGGGTTTGATCCTTGAGTTGGGAAGATCCCCAGGAGAAGGAAATGGCAATCCCGCCAGTATTCTTGCCTGGAGAATCCCATGGACAGAGGAGCCTGACAGGCTAGTTGATGGTTATCACAAAGAGTCGGACACAACTTAGTGACTAAACCACCACCAAAGGGTATAGGAGGATGTATATATAATAATAGTTATTATAATAATAATTATTAAGAGAGTATGATATGACCAAGTGATCTAAATAGTAACTCTTAAATTTTTATCAAGATTTCATTGTTATAAAAGATAATTTTATAAAATTCTCATTAAACACATAGATATAAAGCACATTTTTTCTTTACAGAAACTTTTAAAATAATTGATATAAGTGAAACAGTCTGTAGACTATAATTTGATACCTTTGAAATAATTTGATATATATATCTTAATTATATTCTAATTATTTTTCTTTAATAATTTATTCCTGGTTTTTAATTGAAAGCTCAGGTACTTTTGGTTCTTCAAAGCACTAGGATTTTTTTCAGTAGGTAAAATTTACATTGAAACTTAGGTGGGGTAGAGTCCTGTTGGCACTGAATTAGGTCCATTCTTTTACTTTAGCCAAATGTTTCATATAACTTCTTAAAGTGATGTGAGGCAATTGCAAGGACAAATTTGCTTTATTCACTTAAATTTCCTGTTCCAGGGTTTATAATTTATTTGTTTTGACTTTAGGTAGAAGAAAATAAGAAAAAATATACAGGGCAAAATATAACAATAGTCATGCAAACTTTATTTAAAGAAGTACATATTTTGGCTTAATTCTCTAGACTTTACTTAAACTTTTGTACTCTCAATTACTGTAAACTTTAATTCGGTCGATAAATTCCATCACAAAATTCTATCACTCTTAGACAAGAGTATCTTGTCTTAGAGTTAAGTTTTGACTTAAATTTAGGAGTGTATCATTTCAAAACTGTTTCAGAAATGAAAACTCTTGGAAACTCTTCTCAGAGAAAAGACTTACAGTCCCTTAAAAAAAGTGGAAAGGGAATATAAACTCATTTAATCAAGATTTTTTTTTTTTTAGCAGAAACTTAAATTGGTTTCATCATAGCTGGAGATATCTCTCTTATGAAGTGACTACTGGGGAAGATAATGGCATTTGTTTCTCATAGGGTTATATTTATTTCCAAATTTAGAAAATAAGTGGAATGATAATAATACTCCTGCCATTTAAATGGCCGTGGTATAGATGTTGAATTACAGTTCCCTTTAAGGCAGCAATTGGAAACTAACCTATTAAAATAAAAAGTTAACTGGAAGCTCTGTGCTTTCATAGATGCCTATGTCTTCTTTCTATTGTTCTAATTTTGTAACTGCAAGTATCAAGCAGAACTGAATTTTTACCTGGGTGGTGGTAGTGACTCAGCCTTGACTAGTTAATGTGAAGTAGGCAGGCATTCAGCTCAGATCCTTTTTTTCATTACATTGTGGGCTATGCAATGCTCTGACACAATTTCTTTCTGTAAGGCTAAAATGAAGGTGATTATACTCATAACTCCCATCATTTCTAATTCCATCACCATTCATAGTATTTGCTTGGTTCCTTATTCGTATGAAATCACTGGCCTCTATACTGTCTACAAAGAAAATAATAAAATGTACACAGATGTATTCCTAAGAAAGCTGATTTATGGAAAATATTTAATGACAGCTAATTAAAATAGAAAAGAATGTTCTTATCCATGTTCCTTTCATAATTTACAAACAAGATTGTAGCATCAAAAGATCTATTACCTATGTAAACAACTTTTTGTGTAAATATTTTATTCATTTATTACCTTTCTTCCTATTATTTTATTGTGCAGATGAAATATATCTTTCTCAGAATAATATATATGGTTTTTATTTTAAAAGGACTATGTATATTATATATATATATATATATATAGTATTTTTTCTTTTCAAATCTGAAGACATTTTCAGAGACAATTTGCAAACTATAATTTCTGATGATTAGAAATTTATAGCATATATATAATGAATCTAGTCTATGACAGAAATATTCTACAGGTTAGTCTTTTATTTAAACTCATTGCATTTGCCAGAAAAAAAAAAAAAACTTTTCCCAAATTATTAACTGATAAAAATTTGGAGTCAATAATGCTAATAAGCTGAGTCACACATTTACACTGGTTTAAAGGAAACAAAGTTTTCTGATATATTAACCCAGTCTTTTTACATTACAGTATAATAAAATAGTATCTGTTTAAACAGCAAACCATCCTCCTGCCTAATCTTGTTAAAGTCGTATATTTTAACCAGTTCATTAGTTACTCATATCTAATAATTGTTTATTAATAGAATACTTTTAAAATTATACTCTGGGGCATAAATATATATCCCAGCAAGATTTTTGCTTTGAATTAAAAGTAATCAAACAACATTGATTATATTATTTATTGTAAAAAATAATTATCTTCTCTCACTAGGAAACATTCATCTCACTGTTAACCTTTAATAGTTTCCCCCCCAAAAAATTATTATCAGAAATTATGTACATAATGTGTGCCAGTTTATATGCTATGTAATCTTATCTCCTATAGCTTTTGTCTTCTGTATTATTTTAGGATGTACCATGCATTTTTTTATAAATAAGCATCTAAAATATGGATGTTTCTTTTCTGAATGTGTGATTAGTTTCTTTCTAGCCAAAGGAGATTTCCCCCATGATCAAATTCCATCATTTTTCTGTTTTGGGATTCTGCCTGAAATATGCTTATTTTTATTTGTGAAAGATGTGCCTGAAGATCTGCAAGTGCAATTTTGTAACACTTATATAAGCATATTTGTTTCTAATTTAAAATTGAGCTTACAGCTAGAAATAGCAGAACAAATGGAAGAAATAGCATTATGAATTTGTAAACGCTTTGAATACAATAACATGGCTAAGAAAATGAATGACAATATTTTGGCAATATTTTGTTTGAATATCATACTAAGAGTAGACAGAAAATATTCATTAAATAAAGCATATATATATATACACATATATATATATATGGAATATATCATTCTAAGTTTTTCTCTAGACATACAAGGGTTGATATTATAAAACACTGGAAACTGAGGTTGCATAAACTGCATATATTAACATGACCCCATCATTTTTTATTTTTAGTTTTTCAGTATGATATGCCAGTTATTGATTTATTGTCTCTCAGCTATAAACTCACCCTTTTTGCCTGTTCTGTGAAAATGAATCTGACACTTCTAAATATTTTCCTGTTAACACCCGACACAAGATCTGTCAGTGGAGGGGAAAGACATTGGAGAAGAAAGATTTGACTTTTGTCCCTGTTGTGCTCATTTGGCACACTCCTCTGAGTGTGCCAGGCTTGCTCTAACACCAGGCTCCTACAGTGCTTACGGTTTTCTCCACAACCTGGTTCCTGCTTGCAAGGAAGCCAGCAGCATCTAGCAACCAACAGCTTTCCTCGGATACCTTGGTGAGTTACTTCCCC